TCTGCGGAATGCTGAAGAGTAAATACTCTTGCAAAGATATGCTTTCATAATTCTCATATGATATGCTGAGACACTGTTATTAAGCTGAAATACGCTCTTTGTTGACGAACTTGATCGAGATATATGAGAAGATATATAAGAAAAATGAGATTATTCCGTTACGAGCCATATACTATAGTGGTCCGATCCAGACTACTCCAACAAAACGTCGCAAACATTAAAGCTAGCTACAGAATTTGATTCAAGTGAAGAGTTGGACAAGGGACAGGCCTATATGAAGCATACAGATACGCTTAATAGGGCTGGCGATGTCTCCATCAATGCTTATAAAATATAAAATATCGCAGAAAATTCGACGCGAAATTAATTTTGGAATAAAAATAATAAGTAAAATTTATAAACAAACCTGCATAAATAAATTGATAAAAATCTCAAGTTGTTCTCTAAATCGACTTATCTCAAGAAACATAAACATTTGAAAAGTTCCTTCCTATGTAAGTTATTTCTGCACTCAATTAACTAAGTTTTTGCAAAAGGAACAGCTATTTAAGCGTGTAGGAAAAAATATGAAATCAGGGACTTACCAAATAGATAAATAAAAAAAATTCTTATTAATATGCCCGGATCGGAAGGTTGTCAAAATTGTTAAAATAAAATTATTATTATTATTATTATTATAAATGTGTGTAGAAATAGTTTGAAGAAATCAATATTTTTAGCAAAGTTGCTAGGCATTATTAACAACGGCTTGTTTTTAAACAAGTGCATCCGCAATATTTACTTAATTCCCCTTGATTAACAATTAAAATATATGAGTATTTGTATATTAAAGTATTGAAAAGAGACTTGATCCCTGAATTATGTAAATTTTAATTAAATAATTAATTTAATAAACTTTGTTTTAATTTCATTGAAATACTGATCATCAACAAATGCCTCGTACTTACGAGTACGCTAATATAGGCTCACAGGCTTAATGCCCCAAGTTAATACATAATAAAGCAGAAAAAATAGGAAAGATGTATGTGGCTGTGCGTGTGTGTGTGTTCGTGTGTGTAATTGTGGAGCGTGGTGCGCACTTTGATCTTTGCCTTTGCCTTTGCCTTTTGCATTGCTTTTGACGAGCTGCCTCGTGTAAAAGTCCTGTCCTGGCCGGGCCAACAACACACAAAAAGGCTGACGGCAAAAAGGGTTTTAAATAAATACGAGTGCCCGAAGTCTTAAATCAAATGCGCTCGCTGTTTTCGTGTATATATGTATATATATGGGCTGATTGAGAGTGCGGGGCTCAAGACAATGCGCTGCAATGTGATTTCAAGCTGAAAATTCATTTAAAACATTTGCACCGGCACACTCATACACACGCACGTACACCAGTAGCTATGTAATTATGCACACATGTGTCTACTTTCAGATGGGTTTTATGACATAAATTACATCAAGCACAAAATTTTAATATAATTTTCACTAAAAACGCGCGCGCGAAACTTTTTTAGTTGCTGCTGTTGCTGCTGATGAAGGCAACTTCAAAAGGATTGGCAACGCACACACGCACGCACACGCACGCACGCACACACACACACTCACCCAAAGACGCGCGTTTCTGGAGTGGGTGTGCGTGTATGAAACAGGATATCCGTTGCGGAAGTTACAAATTTTCCACTTTCCACACATTCGTGACTTGGCCCCGGGGCACCTTGCACTCCAGCACGCAGCGTTAGCGGGGGGACGGGCTAGAGGCGTGGCACTAATGTGCCCTGCTTACGACGCCATTTAATATTTATTCCGTTCCATCAAGAAAAGCACTTGGCTTGCTTTTTCACAGCCAGCTCAACTATTTCGCCAGGCAGCAGGCAGCTGGCACCAGCGTCGAGTCCTTTTAATCATTTGGCAAACTTTCTGTGACACGCAGCACTCCAGTGTCAACTACATTTTGTGTATGCCAAAACTACTCCACACACACACACACACACACACACACACACATATGCTTGGTGCCTTTTAGTTTTTAATGTAATTTTGAGACACTTTTTTGCTGCTGTTGTGTCACTTTGCAGTTTCGGCTCGCAAGTGCAAAAAACTTTTGGGGCGTCAAAGTTTCTAGAAAAAAAAATCATTTTCCCCAGCGGATATCGAAACATTCTTCAACAAAACTAAACTCATTTGGCAACTAAAAAGCAAAAGAAAAAAACAAAACAAAGGTTTCTAATATGATGTTGTTGCTTTATAATTGTTGGCATTCCAGTTTTAATAAAATAATGTAAATAAAACGAATTAGTTAAATATAATCATCGTGCATGTCGAATTGTTTTGAAAATGTCAGAGAATGTAAGGACTAGCTGAAGCAAAAAATTTAGCTAACAAATTCTGATTGGAATAATCGTTAGTTTATAAATGTAATGAAATTTGACACAAAATAGACCATGCATTATAATTATTACGAATACTGTAATTGTTATTAAAGTAAAGAAACAGGAATTATTCGTTTTGTATTCACGCAAGAGTTCAGAAATTTAAACACAAACTTTTTTGAATATCGATAACAAATCAAAATTTATATGCTATATTAATTCTGTTGATAAAAATGTAAAATATTGGTTTACATTTCAGATCTGATAATTGACTTACTTTAAAATATATATTTATAAAATTTTTGAATGCTTTATCTTATCCGAAATTCAAGTGCCTAACTTTAAAAGACAGTCGTATGGACAGACACTGAACTAATATAGGTCTACTTTTAACTTGTTGAACGAAGTATAAAAACCAAACACGCTCCATAAAAGAAAATCTTCCATCAAGAGTTGATTATTCCATTATTTTCTCGGCTATTTATTGCTGCATTTCATATACACGAAATATTAAGTTTGTTGCAATGCAATTGAAAAATAGTTTGCATATCGAATTGAGTACTTTGAAATTTTGGTTGCGAACTTGATATTGAAAACATATTGAAAGGCAACTTCGATTGGTTTAGTTAATAAGAAACTGACGCAAAAGGGAAAGTGATAGAGACAGTGGCAACGGTGGTGGCATCCACATCCACATCGAAAACCACATCCACATCGACAGCGGCAGCGGCATCGCACAACCTAGCTTTGGGTTCACCCACTTGTCGGCTCATAAATTTCATAGCGAAATTGTTAAATTTTAATAAAATCAAAGCGTATCAAACGGGATTTGTTCACCAGGCGACGATGCCGACGGCGACGACAGCGACGACACGACTTTTCGCCGTCTTCAGCGTTGTCCTTGCCATCGTTATCCTTGTTCGCAGTCTGGTTATATCGCGTGTTTATTGTTGCAACAGTCGCGTCGAGCGCTTTAAAATAATTTAAGGCTACGCCTGCTGCTGTCAATCAGGGGTGAGGAGTGAGCGTTGTGGGGTGAGGGGTGAGGCAGTTCGCGGCTTGCTCAGGGGTTGCACCCCAAACCCATTGATGCTCAATCTGCTCATCCTCGAGGCGCGCTGCCGTTTTGTGACTCGTTAAAGGATTAAAATCATTTTAATGGATTTTTCAAGCTGTTGTTTTGTTATATAATTGTCGCCTCTATTGTGACACTGTGTGTGTGTGAGCGCGTATGTGTGTGTGTGTGTGTGTGCATTATGGGGGCATAAATAGGGCACACAGATGCACTGGGATTTGACAAAAAGGCAGCGCGAATCACTTTGCACGCCTGTCGAAAGGCCTCTGCGCCTGACTACGCAAGCATTTGTCATCGTCCTTATGCTTATGTCTTTAGTCTGTTTAATGATATCTAGAGTTCTGTTTACAGTTAGGAAATGGTTAGGCTAAAAATTATAAATACTCGCACTTCCAACCTCAGGAAGTATCGAGACTTTGTGTCTCAATGTTGCTGCAATTTGCCCACGATAGCCCGATAGCTCTTAAAGTTAACTAAATCGATAGTATGATACTCTTAAATGTTTTGCATAGCTCTATTAATATCCCAAATCTCAAACTTAAATTTACAAGAACAAATAGATACATTTTAAATATTTATATGCTATGATTATTTTAAAACAATTTAAGGAATAGAAATATTCAGAAATGTCAATGAAATATGTTGATGATTATATAAATCTATTCCTAACCTGAGCCATTCGAAAATGTGTAAAAATATTATGACGATTTTATGCAGAATCAGTCTAGTGGGTGCCCACATTCATAAAAATCGCTTTAATTCTGGTCAAGTTATGGGCAGCTTGAAGTTTGATGGGGTCACTTACTAGAAACTTGCCACTTGCCACAAGCTAAAATTTGTCTAGTTGTTGGCATGATTTCTAATCGGAATACTGCCCCGGAATCATTTAAAGATAGCGTACTTAAATAACTTTGAAACCTATAATTAATTTAATTTAAATTAAATTAAGAACTAAAATAAAATGAAATGACTCCAAGTCAAACAACTTGTTTTCTTAAATTAAAAATGTGGAAATTATGATGTCCATTCCGACAGGAATATATTTTGATATTGCTCTTAAAATGTAGTTCTTTTAGGTTCTGAGGTCCTTGCGTTCATACATACGGACGGACAGACGGACACACAAACGGACATGGCTAGATCGAAGATGTTTCTCTCTAGGCTTTATCCATAAGTAACTTCTACTACAATCTTTATGTACACTAAAGTTGACTCACACGAAATATTTCGAGTATTTAGACAAGTTTGTTGTAAGGAAATCCTGACAGACATATGTACACGTATATTTATTCCATCAACAGTCGAGTTTAGTGGTAAGGTAATTTAATGCTTATAATCAAATCATTTAATCCGAAAAAGTGTTACTGCCTCTGGGCAGGCGACGTTCGCTTATTTAACCCTTATAATAGACATGTTTATTTACAAATAAGAGCTTATCGTCTCTAGCCGCCAATCCATCTACTTCGCATCGACATCAATACCTGCCCTAACGAGCAACTTGACGCTTGGGGCAATCCATTTAATGGAGGGGGAGTCTTGCGTTTTGGAGTATTAAATGAGCGCGGCTTACGTACCTGGCAACTTGAAGGGCAATCCGGCCATAAGTGGATCCGGGCCAAAACGTTGTGGTCCAAATGCGAACGGGTGGAAGCCCTGATGGCGCACCTTCGAGCGCGGCTCGCGTGGGCCATCCACAGTTACCTTGATTGCCTTCGTGTAGGTGGCGATTTGTATGGGATTAGTTGAGATGACAATTGTCAGCGTGAAGCTTTTACCTTAAAAAGAGAAAGCGAGTTAGAGACAGCGAGAAAGAGAGAGATAGAGAGAGAGAGAGAGAGAGAGATACAGAGTGAGAGTTGGTTATGAATGTGAGTGTTTAATTAGCCCGCATTGTCACCTACGATCGACAATAAAGTCAGCAATCGAAGCGTTGCATTTGATTCAGTTCAATTTAGTCGGGGGTTCTACGTATCATGTAAATTCAAGCTGTTTGCTGTGCAGCAATTGGCAGGGTTGTCAGGCGAATGGCGCACACCGAAATTAAAGTGCGGAATTCGCGAACAGAGCTGCATGCGGCATGCGCCACGCCAAATTAACCCCAGCAGAATTGGCAAAGTTATACAAAATTTGCGGGCAATCATTAAAAATGAAGCTGGCACGCAGACATTCAAATGAATGAATGAATGAATGATTGAGTGACTGAATGAATGACTATTGGCATGAACAGAGACGGCGGCGGCGTGGCCATGGCGAAACGAGTGTGTCTGAAACAATCGAATGCAATGCTCAGAGACTGCACTGAACAATATTAAGTAGCATGCTGCGACTTTGACATGGCAACTCTATGGTGGCTGCCGCCCAGGGTTGCCATAACAGCGAAACGTCAATGGACTCCACTGCTCGCTCGCTCCTCGGCCAGCAGAGACTTGAATATTTGGAATATTCATAAAGCGGCGTGAACTTTCAAAATGTGAATATGGGGGTATGGAAACTCTGAAACCAACTCGGGGTCGTTCACTCACTTTCTGCTGGCTTTTTAAAGGGGCGCGAATACAAAATTCATGGGGGCAAACACTTTGAATGCCAGGCGCTTGAGTTAATCAGCAAAGTTGAGTGTACCGTGAGTATTTCGGCCGGATTGAGAGCTTATCGCAGCCTATACAGATACATATATATGTATATGTTTATTATATTATTTTAATTGACAAGCTGATCATGCCGAAGGTGGCATGCCGAAAGTAAAAAAAAATGTTGTGCAAAAGTTTTTCGGTTTCATTAAAAATACTTTATCAGACTATTTAACGAATTTTCTGCAGTTTATTAAAGAATCATTTGCTAACATCTTCCAAATTCATTCTATTTTTTTCTTAATTACTATGTTGCTACATAAGACATTTTATAAAAAAAAATTATATAAATTAAATATTTAGTTGAATACATATAGATATAAAACTTGATAACATGGTTAGCTTTTATTTAATTTAAATTATATTAATTTATTTAAAATTGATATAATGGTTATCTATTTAAATTGCTTATTAGTATTATTATTTAATGGGTGATTTACAACAACTTGGGTAAATGTAATTTTTTTCAGAGTCTAATTGGCTATTCAATATATTTTGAACCCAATAAGTCCTGACTGGATTTAACTTTACTAATTTATTTTAAATTTTCAAAAAGTCTAGCATTTGGCTTTAGTATTCATCTATGGCTATTGATGCCTTGCTGAGATATGTCTAATATCAGTAAATATATAAGTGTTATTAAAAGGTGTTTGCTTTTATAGAAAATTATTATAATTATTAATACGGCCTTTGGCTAAGGCAATACTAGATCAATAAACTCGCTTGGAACTCGAAACAAGATTCGCCTCGCTCAGTTGCCTGAATGGTACTGGGTCACTCGGACAGCTCATCTACCAGAGACAAGAACTTTTTTCAAGAACTTTCAATCAATGATTTTACTTAAAGAAGGGTTCAATGTTTGCACAGTGCATAATACTAGCATAAGATATGAAACACATCTTTAGCGTGTGGGGTAAGCTTGCGTTATTCACTTTCCACTTCTTGCCCCAATGGGCAAAATACGAGTATCTCTTCTCAAATTCGACTCATGATGATGTAAATTTTCATTCCACACAGATCTAGACAGGCATACAACGACTCTCGCATTAGAAACATGACGAAACCATGGCTCATTTGCAAGTTTCTAGTCGAAGTCAGCGCCAACACGTGAAAGCAAACAAAGTTCTTAGATTAATATTAAATTAAACGAAGCATGCAAAAAATGCTAGAAGAAGGCGGCAATCATTAGGACAAGGGCGGCAACAATAACAACAAGACGCCCAGCCCAGCCCAGCTCAGCCCAGCTCAGGCCCTGCCCGTTTAACCAAAACAAAAATATTGCCAGCTTCGAGCATGCGGCATGCGGCATGTGGCAGGCGGCACTGAAGAAGAAAACCCAAGAAAACCTACACAAGAAAACAAATGAACATAAACAGACGAAACGAACCAAGAAAACCAACAAAATGAAATGAAACTTTTTTAATTATGCGCCCTCAGCTCCCAACACAGACGAGCAGCAAGCATGGATCAGCAGTTGGTTAGAGGCGTGGCGGGTGCTACATGGAGCGCTAGCAAAACGTCAACAAACTAACGAGGTGGTAAGAGAGGGGGGCAAAGGACGCGGCGCGACGGGCACAAAGTGGCTAAGACAAAAGACTCGACGGCGTTTTGCCAAATGAGCAAATATTGCAAATAAATCTGTTGCTGTTAGCCATTTTGTGCAGTGTCGTCCAGAGGCGTGGGCGTCGGCGTGGGCGTCGGCCTGGGCGTGGGCCTGGGCGTGGCAGCAACAACAGCAGCAGCAACAACAACAAAGCCAGCGGCGGCAAAGAACTTTGCTGCTAATAAGATGAAAACCATTAAAAGTCGACACAAGTCGCGTCCGTTGCAAACCAAAGAGAGCTCTGTAAAGGATGAGTAGCGGCTGGCGCGAGAGGGGAGCGGGCTGTGCAGGGTGCCGGCTGCCGGTTGCCGGGTTCTGGGCGCAGGTCACAGGGCTGACAGGCAGCCAGAAGCCGAGTTAAAATGTTGTAATTTTCGCAACAAAGCAAAAATTATCACCACTTTGCAAAAGGCGACAACGACGAGAAAATTCTGCACCCTTTTCAAGTCTGCCTGCTGCGGGTGTGTGTGTGTGCGTGTGTGTGTGTGTGTGTGTGTGTGTGTGTGTGTGTGTGTGTGTGTGTGTGTGTAGCAGACACTAAGTGATTTTAAAACAAAGTTTTTCAAACGTTTAACGTTACAATTTTGCCAAGTGTAATAGAAAATGTAACGTTTGCTGGCTCGTCTGCGTTTTAACTTTCGATGCTGATAATGAAGCAAGGAACAGGCGCCAGAGCCGGAGCCAGTGCCAAAGCCAAATTCAAAGCCAGTGCCAAATGAGTGAGCTCGAGACAAGGGTGCGCATAGGCAATTTAATGGCAATGTCTCCACCAGCGCACCACCGAGCCACCCAAAACTCAGCCCCCAGCGGGCGTAACTGCTTCTGTGTTAATGTCGTTAGTAGCATGGCGCCATAATTATAATTTGACATAAGACAAGAAGTCTGAGGTTGACAACAAAATGACATTTTAAATACACACTCGAAAGGCAGCCGCCTTCAAATCGGCATTGAATGGACAACCCTCCAGTGCTTCAACCAAACGCCCATCCACAACCATCTCCACCACCAGCATCTATTAAGCAGCCGCTCATCTTGCCTCTGCTGTGCGTATTTAGACACTTAACAGATCATAATTTTAACACTTTGCCTAATGCCCATGGTACGTTTAATGGAAGTTAAGCCCAGTATAAGAGAGTTTCCCTCAAAACGTAGCTCTGTAAAGGATTCAATGAGAGTTTGGGCACTTACTCGCATATTGGGCAAGAAAATTAATAGATAGAGAGCCTCGTCAAGTTTTTTGTGAATTTCCCAGGTGTGAGTCAAACTAGGACTTAGATATTGGCTATACTTGAATACGCTTTTTTATTATTCCATTTAATGTCGTAATAGATTTTGCGAATAGCATAAATACTTCAAAGCCTCATTAAGCACACTATATTTCGAACCCAATAAGATCTGATTAACTTTTACTTAAACATTTGTCTTTAGCATTCATCTGAGGCTGTTGATTCTCCGCTGAGATATTTCTTATATTAATAAATACTAACACATTTTGCTTATAATTCTTTTTAGAAACAGAGCCATTTGTGAGAGATTTCTTTTATAGAAAACCCTGTTAAGACTTAACAAGAATTTGTCTCAAGTATTTAGTCAGACAAAGGCGTTAGAGCCAAGTGAGTTCCGGCTAAAATTCCAGCTATATAAAGACATGTATACATGTTAACTGAAATTCTACTCTTTCTTGCAATCTCTCTCTTTTGTTTCCTCTCTCTCTCTTTTTCTTCTCCTGGCTCTTTCACTCTCCCACAAACAGTTTTCCAAGTAACATTTCTGAAAATCGCATTTTAAATCGCTTAAAAAATCTGCTCGCTGCAAAAGTCGAGGCTTTCCACCGCTTTGTCCTGTCCCTGCTCCCAGACGTGGCTTTCTGTCTGGCATAAATATTCATATGTTTATTTTATACGTTTTGCCAACAAAAACGCTGCACTTTCTTCGACCGCCTCATCCCGCCCGCTACACACTACGTACTACCCAGCTGAGAGTTTTCCACACCCACTAACCATTTGCTCTTTTAGGAACTGTTCAGCGGGTATTCAGCTTTTGTTGAGCAACGTGTAACACATAAATATTGGCATCTTTTTATAAGTTTATATTCATAAAATGTAAATATTCTGATGGATATTTTATATTAATAAAGTTTGGAATAAAGAGAACATTTGGCCAATTAGAGGAGAAATTCCATCACTTTGAGACTTTTTTTTTCCTAGTTAGAAAATCTATTTCACTTTTTTTCACATTTTTATATATTATTTTTCAGGAAAATAATGAATTATTCTTAAAAACTTTGATATCCCAAAAATTGAAATTAAATGAAAAATCGTTGTGTAATTAAGATTAGGATAATAGTTTCGAACAATTTTTATCGAAGAATATTTTTTTCTAAACAAAAGAGAACTTATGTGAAAATTTAAAAAATGTAATCGAAAATGTATAAAAATTTTGTAAAAGTGAAGTGTACAGGCAATCTGGCAAACATTGAGTTCCTGTGGGAAAACATTGGTTAAGCATTCAGTTTTTGAATAAAAATTGTAAAGCTGGAGCCCTT